GGGACAAACTCCAGTCAGTAGACAGACACTCCGAGAAGAGAGCCACAGCCCTACATCAGAAGAGCAGGGTGGCTGCAGGCCAGTGGAATGAGCAGTCGAGGGCCTACACGGTCGTGCTTGGTTTGAATCCTGGCCTCAGGAGCTTGGAAATTAGCTGAGTGTGCGCGTCCCGAATGGGATGAGTGGAAAACGGAGCGGTGGCACACTGTACGCAGTGCCATGCTGGGCCCGGACCTCCCTGCAGGCTGCCTTCTCCCATCCCCGTGGAGCGCATGTGCCCCACGGCCACGAGACAGAGATGTGGGGGGTGAGACAAACAGTGAGTGAGGGGGGTCCAAGCACCCCATCGCATGCTACTCGGGAGAAGCCAGATCCTACGTGATGACTGCAGGTCGAGTCCCAGCCCGGCCAGCCTGCAGCACACTGCACACATGTGCAAGCGCCCGAAGGGACAGGCTGGAGGTAAGGCCAGACGCCACGGGGGGTCCCTCACCGCCCCCGCGTAGAAATGAAGGGAAAACACTTCTAAAATGAGCTGTGAGAGGGCGAGGTGGCGCACTTCACGAGCTGCAGCTGTAGCGAGACGCCGACAGCACACAGGGCCCCAGCCGGCCAGCACCCCTGCAGCCACTCACCAGCTCAGGGTCGTCCTCCTCCACGCTCGTAGGCTTTCCTTCCTTCTTCAACTGTTTTTTCCGCTCCTTCACCTAAAAAGACATTTTATATCAAAAGATAAGCACCCACACATTGAGAACATCCACTGAGCTTATATTAAGAGGGGTGCTTTTCTGCAGGTAGATACAGTAAGAACTTTGCATGAAAACAAGATAAGCCTCATCCCTCCCTCCCATCCCCTCCAAAAGGACAACACAATCAAGAAAAACCGTTGGTCCCCTCTCTGCCCGTCTGAGACGCAGTCTCCCGGGAGGGAGGGGTCGCAGGGGGCTGTGCCCAGCTCACCGGGCCCCAAGGGCCTGGGATAATAGAGCAGACTGCCTACCTGGAGCTTTCTAAGCTGTGGTTATACACTGAGAGCAAGAAGGAGCCAGCCATGGTGTAGAGAAAGGTAACTACCCGTCTGGCAGGAAGTCAGTTTCTCTAATGACCGCCCTCGACCGTCCCCACAGTGAAACTGCCTCACACCAGTGCCTTCCATGTCCCATTACTGATGCTGTCACTCTGGCCATCACTGAGATCTGAAAATTCACACACCACTCCCCTGTGTGCCATTCGGTCGAGGTCACACCAGAAACCATGCTCAGAAAAACCCTGGTGCTGCCTCGTGACAGGTAGCCCAACTCACGAACGGCAGCACGGCAGAAGGATGGCCTGGTGCCGTGGACCCCGCGGGCACCCCTCCAGCTCTACCTGTGCTGGGATTACACGGCCGTTTCCACTCCACATGGCAAGGCCAGGGCTCTTCGCCTCCCCTGGGGACCGTTTTCCCACTCATGCTGGACTCATTTCTACTGCTGGCTATAAAGTTCTGGCTCAAAGGCCAAAGCTCTTCAAATGAAAGGTAGTGTCCACACTCACTCCCACTGATCCAAACAGCTTTTACAGGGCCGGCAGGTGGCGTGGTGGTTAAGGGCGCTGGGCTCCCACATGGCCAACCAAGGTTCGAGTCCCAGACCTGGCCGCTTGCTTTCTCACTCCCCCCCCCCTGCAGGCTGCCTTCTCCCATCCCCGTGGAGCGCATGTGCCCCACGGCCACGAGACAGAGATGTGGGGGGTGAGACAAACAGTGAGTGAGGGGGGTCCAAGCACCCCATCGCATGCTACTCGGGAGAAGCCAGATCCTACGTGATGACTGCAGGTCGAGTCCCAGCCCGGCCAGCCTGCAGCACACTGCACACATGTGCAAGCGCCCGAAGGGACAGGCTGGAGGTAAGGCCAGACGCCACGGGGGGTCCCTCACCGCCCCCGCGTAGAAATGAAGGGAAAACACTTCTAAAATGAGCTGTGAGAGGGCGAGGTGGCGCACTTCACGAGCTGCAGCTGTAGCGAGACGCCGACAGCACACAGGGCCCCAGCCGGCCAGCACCCCTGCAGCCACTCACCAGCTCAGGGTCGTCCTCCTCCACGCTCGTAGGCTTTCCTTCCTTCTTCAACTGTTTTTTCCGCTCCTTCACCTAAAAAGACATTTTATATCAAAAGATAAGCACCCACACATTGAGAACATCCACTGAGCTTATATTAAGAGGGGTGCTTTTCTGCAGGTAGATACAGTAAGAACTTTGCATGAAAACAAGATAAGCCTCATCCCTCCCTCCCATCCCCTCCAAAAGGACAACACAATCAAGAAAAACCGTTGGTCCCCTCTCTGCCCGTCTGAGACGCAGTCTCCCGGGAGGGAGGGGTCGCAGGGGGCTGTGCCCAGCTCACCGGGCCCCAAGGGCCTGGGATAATAGAGCAGACTGCCTACCTGGAGCTTTCTAAGCTGTGGTTATACACTGAGAGCAAGAAGGAGCCAGCCATGGTGTAGAGAAAGGTAACTACCCGTCTGGCAGGAAGTCAGTTTCTCTAATGACCGCCCTCGACCGTCCCCACAGTGAAACTGCCTCACACCAGTGCCTTCCATGTCCCATTACTGATGCTGTCACTCTGGCCATCACTGAGATCTGAAAATTCACACACCACTCCCCTGTGTGCCATTCGGTCGAGGTCACACCAGAAACCATGCTCAGAAAAACCCTGGTGCTGCCTCGTGACAGGTAGCCCAACTCACGAACGGCAGCACGGCAGAAGGATGGCCTGGTGCCGTGGACCCCGCGGGCACCCCTCCAGCTCTACCTGTGCTGGGATTACACGGCCGTTTCCACTCCACATGGCAAGGCACGGCCAGGGCTCTTCGCCTCCCCTGGGGACCGTTTTCCCACTCATGCTGGACTCATTTCTACTGCTGGCTATAAAGTTCTGGCTCAAAGGCCAAAGCTCTTCAAATGAAAGGTAGTGTCCACACTCACTCCCACTGATCCAAACAGCTTTTACAGGGCCGGCAGGTGGCGTGGTGGTTAAGGGCGCTGGGCTCCCACATGGCCAACCAAGGTTCGAGTCCCAGACCTGGCCGCTTGCTTTCTCACTCCCCCCCCACCCCGTTCCTCTCTGGTCAAATTAAAAATAAATAAAGTCAAATAAAATAATTCTTTAAAAAGGGAAAAGTAACAGGTCCAGATTCTTGTCCTACCAAGTAAAAAATTAAAACTAAGACCTTTCTGGAGCCAATGGACTGCATGGAGATTGAAGTGGTGGGACGACTCTGCAGTCCCACCTGGACCTGGTGGCTTGAAAGTCACACTGGACGCGAGTGCCCGGAAGTCCCGAGAAGAGAGTGGAGAAGAGAGTGCAGTGTGGCCACCCCCTGGGGGTGATTTTCACCATCCGACTGCCCTCCTCAGCCTCTCCCCAGCAAGCACACATGCCTGTGGTTAAAAAGAAGCCTTGCTGAGATCAGGAAAACTACCTTTTCTTCTTTTCCAATCCTGCCAGAGTGTGCGTGCTCTCACTGAAGAATGCGTGTGAGAGGTGGGAGAACAGGGGAGAGCACTGCTCCGGGGACAGCCACTGCGACCCTGCCCCTCCGCCTCTGCCTCCTTTCAAGATCTCAGGCCTGCGTATGAGCCCGTGTCTAAAGCTGCTGGGACTGGGCCTAAAACGACACAGGTGGCCATGCGGGACCCAGCGGCCTGAGCCATGCGACCCGGGCTGGCCCAGAAAGCCATCTCAACAGTCCCCACCGCTCAGGAGGTCACGTCACCCCAAGAGCAGAAAAAGCCACACCAGTGAGGACTGAACTTCTCTCAGCCAAGCCCTCCCCGTCATCGCCGCTGGCCTCCAGTCCTGCCTCTGCGTGCACCCCCACCCCTGGGCCTTCTTCAGCCGCGCTTCTGTTCTTCTCAGGGACGACAACAAGAGTGGAGGTGGGCACACGGCGCTGGCTCTCGGCAGGGGTGAGGTGGCACAGGCGAGGGTGCAGGCACGGCCGTCAGCACAGCACTGCAGGGGGAGGCGGGAGCTGCGTCGGCCGGCCCTCGCTGCAGCTCTGGGAATCTAGGTGCTCACCGCTCACCAGCAGCACGGCAAAGTGGCAGAGACCGTTGGGCCGGCACAGGCACGCCCATGGGCGCCGAGCGGTGCCCGTGCTGCCGCGCCCGTGAGCACAGCAGCACTGTCGGTACTTACGGTGTGCTCCACGTATTCTTTTCCTGCCTGAATTACATCCAGGGCCCTCTTCTTTTGCTCCTGATCCAGTAGCAACTTGTAAGCTTTGTCCACAGCTAATGCAAAACATCGAAAGTAACCGTTTCCGAAACAGCCTCTGTAAGTGGCAACTGCGCGCGGGTGGCGAGTGGCCTGGCCGGCCCCGAGCACGCCACGTGTCGTTTATGAGTTAAACTCACTTAAGGGAGCACGGGGCTATGGTGCTTTCCTGGGGAGCCCTGGAGAACCTTAAACACACACTCAAGGCTGCGTGGACCAGGCTTAAACT